TGACTAGTGCCAAAATTAATGCCTAATGAGTAGAATATAGAACAGTGTTATAAGGTATCAAGTGAATATAGGCTTTTTTTTTTTTTAAAGGGGGAACAAAAAAAGAATAATTAGGCTTTAGATAGATTAGCCCTTAGGGTCTGCTCCTCAAAATTGACCCGATTCTTCTGTGATTCATTCCCTCTTCAAATTCTGCTACCATCGCTTCTCTACCAATTCCACATACTTTTTTAAAATTTTTGTTATTTAAGTATAGTTGATATACAATGTTATATTAGTTTCAGGAGCACAACAGGATGATTCCACAATTCTATACATTACACAATGTTCACCACAAGTGTAGTTACCATCTGTCACCACACAATGTTATTATGGGATTATTGACTATATTTCCTATGCTGTACTTTTCATCTCTGTGACTTAATTTATTTTTTAACTGGAAGCTTGTGCCCCTTCATTCCCTTCATCTATTTCGCCCATCCTCCCCCAACCCCCTGCCTTGTGGCAACCACCACTTTGTTCTCTGTATTTATGATTCTGTTTCTGCTTTTTGTTTGTTTGTTTGTTCCTTTGTTTGGTTTGCTTGTTTTTACCCAGGAGGATTCCCATGAACACAGGGTCTCTGGCAATAGAGACAAAGACGTTGATGTGAGGAGGGAACAATTTGGGCTTAGGCAATTATTAGCTAGAGGTGAGCACGTTTTTCATCTGAATATTGATCAACAACAACCACCACCTACATTGCTAATATCACATAAAAGTCTGACCCGGAGATAGGAACATGGCATTTAATATTATTGCCCATTTACAAAAACAAAGCTAAATATAGGTAGAACTTGAAATCTGTCAGGGTATAGGCAAAAAGAAAGAAAAAAGGTAATTTCCCAAGCCTTTAGAAATATGTGACTGAACTGAAAGGCCTGCAAAAAGCCTCCCATTCCCATGGAACTTGAAAGGGTTCATAGGAGTCCACACACTGCCTTGTAGACAACTGCCAGGAGCTGTCACCACAATCCCAGTACAAAGGAGAAACCTGTGCTTCAGGAGGTTCAATGTTGCACCCATAGGGAAACGGTGCTGAAAATAGAATCCAAGTTTCTGACTCCTACAGCATCCTTCACTGCAGCCTCTCCTGGGTGACCTCCAGAATATCTCAGCATCTGGTTTACCAGTTGCTGGTACCAGAAAGCACAGATGTGCACAAAAGCACATTTTAAATTGTGAGCATTTGGATTTGCTTTTGTTTATTTGACTCTCCAACATGGGTTCTTAGATCAGTAGTTCTCATTTAGAATCTGGTAATAAAAAGAGTTTCATCTTCTCTGGGTGAGCCAATGTTGAAATTTGGCTGATTCTTGCTACCAATAATGCAGCTGGGATGAACTCAGAGTCTTGAATCCACGCTGCCACTCACTAACTATGCAATGACTTTGTGCAAATAACTCAACTTTTCTCAAATAACTCAACTTTTCTCAAATTCCTCTCCTATAGAATGGTAATAATTAACATGAATCTGAAAAAGTGGTTTATGATTTGACAGTAATGTCCTCTCTCACATGGATTATTGCCAACAGCCTTATATCTGGTCTCCTGACTCCTACCCTTGCCTACCTTTCATCTATTATCAACAGAGCAGCTAGCTAGAGTAGTCCTGTTAAAACATAAGTCCTGTCGCTCTTCTGCTTAACACCTGCCCCCATACCTTCTCACCCCCTTCAGAGTAGAAGCCAAAATTCTTCATTGGCTTACATTATCTGCCACCTCCTCATTGCTTCTCTGGCCTGACCTGTCACCACTCTTACCTAGAGCATTTTGCTCCAGCAACTCTGGATGCCTCACTATTTTTTGTTAAGATTTTATCTATTTATTTGAGAGTGAAACTGAGAGAGATCACAGAGTGAGAGGGAGAGGGAGAAGCGGACTCGCTGCTGAGCAGAGAGCCCAACATGGGCTCAGTTGCAGGACCCTGAGATCATGACCTGAGCCAAAGGCAGATGCTTAACCGACTGAGCCACCCAGGTGCCCCTGGACCCCTCACTATTCCTCAGACATGCCAGAAACACCCTGCCTCAGGGCCTTTGCACTTGCTGTTTCCTCTACTTGGAAATTCTTGTCTTGAATGTTTATATGAATCACCTCCTCACCTCCCTTTAACTCTTTATTCAAAAGTTATGTTCTCAGAGGGGTTTACCCTGGCTCTGCTCTCTAAAATTACAACCCACTCTCCTCCTAATGCTTCCTCTTTGCTGGTCTACTTTTCTTATTAGCATCAACTAACATATCCTACATTACTTCTTCATATGCTTTATTGTCTGTCTCTCCCACTAGAATATAAGCTCAATGTCAGCATTTTGCTCACTCATTAAATATGTGGTTTGTGGGGGAAAAAACCCTCAACTTCCCTGATCTGGAGTTTATTCATCTACCCTCAGGACAGTTCTGCAGCAATGCCTGGCACAGAGTAGGAACTTAATAAATGGTTGTTGAACTGATGACCGAATCTAAAAGAGCTCTCAACATTATGACCATTGAAGCATGAAAAAGGAAAAGAAGGAAGCGAAAAGAGAAAGGGAGATGTGAGGAAAGGAGAGAAAAGAATCATGTCAGAGACACTCAGGTGACAGCGATATGGATAAAAAGAACCAAGCAGCAAAAGACAACAGAAAAGGGAGCCAGTACATCATCCTCAAAAAGCCCAGGAAAGAAACAAAAAATGAAGCACAGGAAGGAAGGGCTGTTTGTCACCGTGAACACTCAGTATTTGCAAGATTCAGCTATGGTTTTATCATGAGCTCGTAGAGCACGTTCCTCAGAACCTTGGGAATCATCTCTTCTCCTGTGAATAAGCAGTTCAGCTGTTCCTTCAAGGGGTCATGGACTTGAGAGGCCTAAAGAACGTAGGATCAAATTAACCAACAGACCCATCTATTCTTCATCACCATCTATTTTCTTGAGAACCTGATTTGAACATGTATGTAATGTCAAATACTAAGATAACCACTCTAGGGCATGGTCATCATCTGGAATGTCACACTCCTCAATGCACACACACACGCAAAGAAGCACATCTTCTTACTACACAATTAATAGATTCCCAGTTTTCCTGCAATGCAAGGACCACAAAATTCTATACTTTTCTTATTCAGTGCCCAATCAGTGGAATCCTCTGAAGCGCGCAAGAATTTCCAGCATCCATACATGGGATGCTCTCCAGGGGCTCAAGAGGGACCCTTTCCCTTGCGGTTCACCCTTTATTATGATTTTTACTCCTTTTCTTTTCTGGCACCCCAGGCTTGCAGGAGCTATTTTGGTTGTCAGATAAGTTTTGCTCTGAGATGCCTTTAAAGGTCTGTTTTGAGGAAAACAGCATTCACTTTGCAACCTTCTTGGGAATTTTATTTAGTGAGAGCCTCTTCATCCCACGGATTTAAAGCATGATGGAAACTTTAGCTCATGAATCAAAACAGCCCTCCAGAGCTAAAAGCTAGCTGTATTTGCATAACAATTTAGCAGCTCCAAACAGCAAGGCAAGGTCAGGTGAAATAAATTGCCAAGGTCAGGGTTCTCTTGAAGTGGTATTGAAATTCAGAACCTGCAGTTCCCCAGTCTTCCTTACCCCAAGGATGTGTCTCCTAATCTCCTTCTAAAGGATACCGTGGCATAAAATAAATCTACTGCATGCGTGGTAACCACAGGCCTGCCCTTAACCCTCTCCTTTGCTTCTAATTTCAGATTCAGATCCTGGAGGAAGAGACCAAATCCTAAGCCACTGACTTCACTGCATTACTATACAAATGAAAGAACTTACTAGAAACAGTGATCTGGAGGACTCGGTCTAAACTAGAAACTGCTGTTGATCGTGCCTGAAACTCCAAAAGTATTTTGAAGCTCTTTAATTTCTTGGTCAAATAAATAATTGCTTCAAATTAAATTTTTACTTCTGAGAATCTAAAAACATAGGGAATCCTTCAAAACCGCAAAAGCCCACGTGCCCGAGAGAAGGAAGCTGAGGAGATTAAATGTGTAAATTATTCTGGCTTTGGTGCCCTTAGCGAGAAAAACCTTTAAAGCGACACACCGAAGAGAAGCTCGTTAAAGTCACAGCTTCTTAGAACCTATCCCCGTGAACCACTGGAATTCAGAATCCTCAGGCACAACTCCGAATTCGGAATTCTCCGCGGCTCAGAGTCCTGGGTCGCACGGAATTTCGCCAGCCAAGACCCGGCGCCTTTGAGGGGAGCGGACTTTCCAGGGGCGCGGGAAGCGCCACCCGGGAATCTCACCATCAGTGGGCGTTTAGCGCAGCCAAGCGACAGGCTGGCGCTAGGGCTCAGTAACAGGGAGGCGCCGGCTGAGGCGGGGAGAACTTTGCGCTCCGAGCAGAACCACCCTTTGCTGGCCAGTCGCGTCACTCCTCCGAGGAAGCAGGCGGCGGCGGCGGCGACAGGGCGGAAAAAGGAGCGAGGCAAGGAAGAGAGGAAGTAGCCAGACAGGAAGAAAGATGAAGCCAGTGCCGGGGGGCCCCGCCAGAGGGTGGCCGACGGCGGAGCAAGGAGGATTTGGCTTCTTTTTCGCACTCGGGGCGTGAACGCCTTCTCCTGCGCGACCCCGAGGAAATAAGTGGGTGTCACCTGGGCAGAAAAGGAAAAGAAAAGAATCCAAGTGAGCGCGTTGCCCCCTTAGGAACTCCGGTTGCTTCCCAGCCCAGCCTCCCCGCGGGGCCGGACGCAGTGCCCGAGCCGCCCTGCAGATGGGGCGGGCAGGGAACGGGCGCCCAAGCCGCGGGTGACCGGCGACGGCCCGCCCGCCTGCCCGGCTCCGCGCAGGGACCGGGCGGGCAGAGGATGTGAGGCGGAGGGACCTGGGCGCGCTAGGCTCCAACTTGGATGGCCCGGAGACCGCTTCGGCTCCTGGGGGCGCTTCGCCGCTCAGAGTGAGCTGCCCGCGGGACCTGGGGGTGGAGACCTTAGGCAGCGGCCGCAAGGGGGGTGAGCCGGGCGCAGGAGGGGGCGCGCTTTCTCCCTGCGGATCTCAGTAATGAGGAGACTGAGTTTGTGGTGGCTGCTGAGCAGGGTCTGTCTGCTGCTGCCGCCGCCCTGCGCTCTGGTGCTGGCCGGGGTGCCCGGCTCCTCCTCGCATCCGCAGCCCTGCCAGATCCTCAAGCGCATCGGGCACGCGGTGAGGGTGGGCGCGGTGCACTTGCAGCCCTGGACCACGGCCCCCCGCGCCGCCAGCCGCGCTCCGGACGGTAGCCGGGCCGGCGCCCAGCGGGATGAGCCCGAGCCAGGGACTTGGCGACCCCCGGCGCCCTCGCCCGGCGCACGTCGGTTGGGGAGCGCCTTGCATGGCCGGGGCCCGCCGCGCGCCCGAAAGCCCGGGGAGGGCGCGGGAGCCGAGACCCTGTGGCCTCGGGACGCCCTCCTCTTCGCGGTGGACAACCTGAACCGCGTGGAAGGTTTGCTGCCCTACAACCTATCTTTGGAAGTAGTGATGGCCATCGAGGCGGGCCTGGGCGACCTGCCGCTCTTGCCCTTCTCCTCCCCAAGCTCGCCGTGGAGCAGTGACCCTTTCTCCTTTCTGCAGAGCGTGTGCCACACCGTGGTGGTGCAAGGGGTGTCGGCGCTGCTCGCCTTCCCCCAGAGCCAGGGCGAGATGATGGAGCTCGATTTGGTCAGCTCTGTCCTGCACATTCCAGTGATCAGCATCGTGCGCCACGAGTTTCCGCGGGAGAGTCAGGTGAGAGGAGTGGGGCGCCACTTAGGGGCCGGGACCTTATGGAGGGGAGGAGGGGAGAAAGGGGAAGGGCAAAGTCCGGAGGGACTTGGGGCTTTCCAACTTTGATATTGTTTAAGGATCGGACCATATCCATAGATGGTTGGTTGAAGGAGTTCAGTAAAAGTAAAATAAGACAGTGTAAGTGCGGATGGAAATAAAGTAAGAGGTAGGGGTAGCCGATGGAAGAAAGGAAGTGGGGGGAATAAGCGAAAAAAATACTCTTGTTTTGACCAGCTGGGGAAACCTAATGAATGCCAGAGGGAAGTAGAAGTCAAAGTTCAGGAGCGTGGAGAGCAATGGGTTTTCTAAAGACGAGCGCGGGGGAGGGCGATGGAAGATCCCTGACAGTGCTAACGTCTTTCACTCCCAAGAGGAACTGAGCATGTGGCGCCACGAGCTGCATCTACTCTGACTTCTTTAGAAGGTGTGCCTGAGGCTTGGGCGGTGGTGTACGGAAGGAAACAGCCCTCTGAATTCCTATGAGTAAATAGGAAATTTGCAACTAGTACGGAAGCAATAGGAAAAGAAGGGCGGTTAATTACGCCTGGGCATTGAAATGCAGTAGAATTATTATCTGGTAGCGTAAAAATCGATGGGAGGACTCATTTGGGATCGGTTTTTTGGTTCCTACCTTTCTGTGTCATGTGGGCTCAGAGACTGGCTGTATGCAGTGGCTGTGTTCAGCTCATTTCTGTCTCAGTGATCTAGGACTAAAGAAAGAATGCTTTCGTTTCTTATAGGTTAAAAAATTGAACGTATTTTTAATAAAAGAAGCTATTTGTGAATTTACTGTTGACAATAATATAAATATTTAAAGAGAGGGCGGGTCCTTTCAGCAATAGGAGTTTGCTGCATTTTGTGCATTATTTTTATCAAAATATCAAGCTTCATTAAGCCTTGCCCAAAGTATTTATAAAAAATAGGTAATCGGTGTTGGCCCCATGTTAAAGATTGAGGAACTAAGGAAAGTTTTGGTCAGTGTAGTAATAAGAGTCCAGACACTGGAGAATTTCTAATTCTACATATCATTTCACTACCCCTTTAGCTGGAAAAAAATATTTCTAATCTCTTTTCTTCCACTTTTGATATGTATACAGAGACAAAAGCTAAAATGAGTAAGACCAAATACAAGTGAAAAGTTTGATAGAATCTATGCATAAAATATCAAGAGAGAACTAAAGATTTCTTTTTCTAGAAAAATGAATCTTACATTTTTAATCTTAGGAAGGCTGGGCACCGGCTACATTCAGCAGTTGCCCAGAAGATTGCTATTTAATGCTGAACTATAGAGATTTGATCTGCAGAGTGCAGGCTAATTAACTTTTATCTAAGACATTTCCGTCACCTGAATCTGAATGACTGTAGGCAGCAGATGGGAAGGCAGGGAAAACACAGGTGCACAATGGTGCCAATGGCCAAAGTGTTATAAACATGAAATTGCATCCATAGGGTCCATCATTATTAATATATATGCAGAATCAGATTGAACGAAATGCAAGAGTCAGCATCACGTGCTTCTCATCATTGCTTCTTTATTACCTAATACTTCATAAGTTGCCAATAGTGTTCACAGTCTCCAGACTCCTTTTCCATTTGTAGATTGTTTGGCAGATCTTAAATAGCAAGAATTTCCCCCAAATTAGTGTTCCTTAGTTAGAAAGGAAATTGTGTTCCATGCTGGATTTGTGCAGCATCCAGCACATTACAACAAGGGGACTAGAGGAACCATGAAGCAGCATCCAGAATCAGACAACTTCACAGCTTTAGGACCACTGTGGGAACAGTCTTCCAGGGACAACCCTTACAAGCTCACAATAAAATGAACACTCCGCCAAGCACATTTCCTTCTGTACTTCAATTCAGAAATGTATTTTAAATCACTGTTGTCACTGTTATTTTCATGGCACACATCTTGAAAGGGGGAGATTATTATATTAACTCAGATCTCGTTTGCCCAACTGACATGTTCTTTTATTTATCTTTGTATTTTAAATTCAGACATATCTAACATGTCTTACTTTTAGTATATCATTTAAATGTCATTCTATAATGTTCAACTCAGTGCCAAGTCACCATAACATGTAATTTTAGGATATGACCATAATCTGCTTTCAGCAAAAATAATAACTGATCTTTCCCTTGCCTCTGTTAAAAAGTAGACCTTTCTCCCATACACTGATATGATTAAAAAAAAAAAACAACTTTCAAAATATAAAAGAATGTCAGAGTCATTTTATACATTAAATAAAACTGATTTAATTTAGCCACTGTTCTCAATCGATTCTACTGCCCAGTGACCTAATACATTGATTGGGTATTAGGTTATCCTGAATAAAGGATTCTAGAAGAAAGTGGACTTGTCCACACAACCAAGTAAAATAAAATTGTGTCTCTTATTCAGACAAATCAAAATTGCTTGGAGCAGTAGTGACAAGAGTGTTTTCTCTCACTTTCTTCTGGGCTGTTGATTTCCTTCATATGAAACCTTTAATTAATAGTGGTTTTGATAGTATTCTGCCACAGCTCGTAAATGGAAAGAGATAGCACTGAAATGATCAAAACCCTGAGGAAAGCATTATAGTTTTATTTCACTATTTATTGGAAACAAACACATAAGATCAGCTTGTAAGGAACCAACTTTCTTCAAGCAGGGAAATCCATTATCAGTAAGATAATAAACTACCCACTTTTGGAAACCATATGTATTATCACTACCTAATAAAAGCTTCCTACAACATTACTACATAGGAGAGGATTAAAGCACGTTTCCATCTAAAAAATTCTGACTTTGCTACACACTCAAACCTCCATTTGAAGCTAACTGTTTTATTAAAATGATAATTTCTTAGTTCTAAATTGTATTCTCATGACCTTCAAGTAATAATTCCGCATATGGATCCACCTACATTTAAGTTATAGTAAGTTCCTAAAATTGTTCTTTCTCTTCCATTCCAGACCACCTTTTCTTCTAGAGTTTTGGTATACTTTCTCCAAAGTTAACTCCTTGAAATTTGCCTGCTCAGTTAGTGACAGATCAGGTTTCTTTCTAAAATGTTTATCTCATGTTAATTCCATAGGGGTTCCATTAGGCAGAGTTAATGGAGTAAGATAATTGGCTTAGATCCAAACCCATACAACCAAAAACTGACTCAGGGCCCCAGGTTGGCACAGTTGGTTGAGCAGCGGACTCTTGATTCCAGCTCAGGTCTTGATCTAAGTGTCCTGAGGTTGACCCCCACGTGGGCTCCCCACTCAGCAGGGAGTCTGCTTCTCTCCTCCCTCTCCCCCTCCCCTTGCTCATGCATACACACACACACACACACACACACACACACACACTCTCTCTCTCTCTCTCTCTCTCTCTCTCGCTCTCTCTCTCTCACTCTCTCTCTCTCTCAAATAAATAATCTTTTAAAAAATAAAAAACAAAAAGTGGCTGTATTACTATTTTCAACTCCAATTGAACATACCAACCACAGTTTGCCTGTCTCATGAGCCATATATGCTCATTAATATGTTTATTCCCATGGAAATAAAGGGTTTTAGATGGTCCCTTTTCTCTGACAGCACAGTGCTAAGTACCAAAGCCTGTTTATTAGTTTGGCTAGCACAGTGCCACTTCGGTATGATACAAGGACCAGAACAGTAATACCACTAAGGGATAGGTTTCCCCCACTATCTGAAAGTAAAGCATTCCTATGAAACCTTTTGTAAGCCAAAGTGGCATAAAGTGAAGAGTATTCCCCGCTTTCGAAAAGTTCGCGTAATGCCACTTACCTTTGAGGAAAGACCTACCTTAGCACCTGTTTTCCCCGATGGAAAAAAATTCAGAAGGGGATTTTCACTTTTATGAAAGCAAAGTGGCATAATGCGGAGTTTCAGAAAGTTGGGGATGCCGGTAGTGCCGCTTTAGCCAAGGTTTTGCTTCCCACGGTCAGTCGCGGTCCGAAAGCAGATGATTTCTCCTCCCCCGACGTAGCGTCAAAAGGTCAGTAGTAGCTTCCCGCTGCGGCCCAATGCCTACGTCTTCTTCCTCAATTCATCTTATCACATAGACATTTTCTCATCTCACATCACAGGAGGAAGGTGAGTGCAATGCAGTAAGATATTTTGAGAGAGAGGACCATATTCACGTAATTTTTGTTACAGTATATTGTTATAACTGTTTTATTTTGTTATTGTTGTTAATCTCTTACTGTGCCTAATTTATAAATTAAACTTTAGCGTAGGTATGTATGTATAGGAAAAAAACACGGTATTTATAGTATAGGTACTATTCATGGTTTCAGGCATTCACTGGGGGTTTTGGAATGTATCCCCCACGGATAAGGGGGCACTACTTTATATATCAGGTGTGTCGTTAGGGGACAAGTAAAGGACATTTATTTTTTTTAAAAGATCTGCTCTCAACTATATTGGTTTTCCTTGACTTGCTCCATGCAAAGCATTGCTTTCTGTCCTCCGGGGGAAATACACTCTTCTGTAATTCATGATGAATGGCTGATAGTAGCACCTAATTGTTGCTGACTTGAAGATAAATGATTTCAAATTAAATGTCAAGTGATAACAAAACTTTTCTTAGAAGTGATCTTTTACAGACTCCTTTTGAGGTACAGAGACTTGGGATTAATTTGGAAGTTTTTATTTTTAATTTGGGGATTTTTTTTTTTTTTGCAATACTTAAATTTTTTTCCAGATAAATAGATCAGAAGAGGTTAGCAGATACATTCACTGGGCAATTAATCTGTCTCACCCACTTTTCTTGTGCCTGCCACAGTCTAGTCATAGAGAATATTTGGTCTTGAACTTCTTTGACTATTCCGTCTTGGAGTTAATTTATGATTGAATCAACTGAACTAAGTATCTGCATCATCTGAAGCCCAGTTTCATTGTTTAATTCCTTAATGTTTTATCTTTTGGTGTTGCAGAATCCACCATGGATTTTGTGCCATTAGACTTTA